AGATCTGGGTTTGATTTCCCACTTGGGCATGGAAACTCATTGTGTGACTTTGGGCAGGTCACACACTCTCTCAGCCACAGAAACCCCATGATAGGTTCATCTCAGGGTAGCCAGAACTCAGAAATAACTCAGAAAAGCACACAACAACTGTAGACCCAGCTGTTGTTGTTGTCCTTGAGCTGACTTCGACTCATGATGGCCCTGTTGATGAGACATCTCCAAAAATCCCCTATCCACCTGCTCAGGTCCTGCAGGCTCAGATCCATAGTTTCCCTGATCCAGCCATCTGGCATGTGGTCTTCTGCTCTTCCTGCTTCTTCTGCCTTTACTAGCATCATTGTCTTTTCTGATGATTCGTGCCTTCTCATGATGTGGCTATAATATGACAGCTTCAATGTAGTCATCCCGGCTTCCAGAGATAGGGCCTTTGCAGACTGCCAGAAATAGTGCAAATTGACTCAACTTTAAGGGTTAGGGTTAGTGCTAGGGAATCATGGGAATTGTTGTTTTTTCTGAGACATTGAGCCTTCTCTGTCAGAGAGCTCTGGTGCCACAATCAAATACAGTTCCCATGATTCCCTAACCTTAACCCTAACCCTTAAAGTGGACTCAATTTGCACTATTTCTGGCAGTCTGCAAAGGCCCATAGTTCAGACTTGATCTGTTCAAAACTCATTCATTTATCATCTTGGCTGTCCACTTATTCTCAGCACTCTTCTCTAGCTCCACATCTCAAACGTCTTGATTTTCTTTATGTCAGCTTTCTTCACATCCAGTTCTTGCATCCGTATGTGGTCATGGGGAATAAAATGGCCTGGATGATTCACTAGGACCCCTATTCTAGTGTTACAAATTATATCTTTGCTCTTTAGGATTTTATCTAGCTCTTTCATAGCTGCCCTTCCCAGTTCTAGTATCTTCGCCATTCTGATTACTGTTTGATCCAAGGTATGGGAACTCTTTGACTATTACATTTTTTTTCTTATCTAGGATTAACTCTTGTAGATCTTTGTAGTGGTTGTTGTGGTGTGCCTTCAAGACTTTTCTGACTTCTGGTGACCTTAAGGCAACCCTTTCATGGGGGTTTCTTCACGTTTCTTCAGAGAGGATCCTCTGAGGCTGAGAGGGTGTGACTTGCCCAAGGTCACCCAGTGGGTTTCCATGGCTGAGCTGCCCCCATCTTCCATGGCTCTTGATCTTTGTTTCTTAGGGAAAGAGCAGGCTGCTTCTTGGGATAAGCAGTCCCTCTGGGGGGTGCCAGCGCCACTTCCCATTCTCCCAAGGTGACCAGATGTCCTCAACGCAAAGGAGGACAAGGATGCATCAGGTGCAGCACTGCAAAATCTAGGACATTTAAGTAAAATGGAGGACATGACCAAAGAAAAGTTAAAAACACTTATAGAAATATAAACCCATGCTCTTTTGTCATGCTCCAAATGGAGGACATTTTGGAATTCCTCTTGGACAGAGGGTTGAAATGCAGGACATGTCCTGGAAAAAAGGAGGTCACGCTGAAGGTAGGGCATTCAAGAAAAATAGAGACATGACTAAAGAAAAGCTAAAAATACTCCTATAAATATAAATCCATGCTTCTTAGCCATGCTCAAAAGGGAGGACATTTAGGAATTCCTCCCGAACAGAAGGCTGAACTGTAAGGGCAGGTCCTGGAAAAGGAGGACCTCTGGTCAGCCTGTGTTTGCTAAAAAATGAATCACATTGATTTCAGAATAGAATCAGAAGCAAGATTAAGCCTAGATGATGAAATCCTGTATGCTTTAGGGGTGGGTAATCTTTAGCCTGTTGACTGAATTCAGCCTATGGGCTCATTCCAGTCCTCACCGCAGAGGAGGACAAAGCATCACAAAATGTAGGACCTTCAAGAAAAATGGAGGACATGACCAAAGAAAACCTAAAAACAATATAAATTCCTGCTTCTTAGTCTCAAAAGGGAGGACAGTTTGGAATTCCTCCTGGACAGAAGGCTGAATTTTGGAAAAGTAGGAGGATGCCTGGACACCCTGAATGTGGGGCACTGAAGAACATGCTGGACATGACCAAAGAAAAGTTCAGAACACTCATAGAAATTAGTGTTTGGAACAGGAGGACCCTTCTCCAAAGGGAGGACATTTTGGAACTCCTCCTGGGCAGAAGGCTGAAATGTAGGACAGGTCCTGGAAAAAAGGAGAAGGACTTCTGGTCACCCTGGCATTCAAGAAAAATGCTGGACATGACCAAAGAAAAGCTCAACACACCCACAGAAATGTAAAGCCCTGCTTCTTAGCCCTGCTCCAAAGAGAGGAGAACAGAAGGTTGAAATGTAGGACAAGTGCTGGGAGAGGAGGAGGAGGAGGAGGAGGAGGAGGAGCACCTTGCATTCCCCAGAGAGGTTTCTTCTCCTTCCAGGTGGCAGTGGGTTCAGGCAGGTGCTGCTCCTGAGGAGGCGTCCAGATGTTCCCTTATGAGAGAATGCCTTATATCCAGAGGTGACCAGAGGTGGTGGTGGTGGTGGTCCTCCTCCTCCTCCTCCTTTTCCAGGACCTGTCCTCCATTTGAGCCTTCTCTCCAGGAGGAGTCCCACCCAAACTTGTCCTCCCTTTGGAGACTTGCCCTCTTCCAGCCCCCCAACTCCCCACTTGGGAGGGAAGCCCCTCAGCCTCTCTCCCGCCAAAAGCCGGCCCCCTTCCCCCAGAGAGACCCTCTCCCTCTCCCTCTCCCTCTCCCTCTCCCTTTCCCTGTCACTCCAGTCCAGTGCATCCAATGGCGCAGCCTCCTGGCCCCTCTTCCCCACCCACCTTCTTTTTTTGGGAAGGGGGGCTGGAGAGAGAGAGTGGAAGGCGTGAACTTTGGGGCAGAGTTGCTCTGCTGCGGCGGAGGCTGCGTCTCCTTCTCCTTCTCCTTCTCCTCCTCCTTTCTTTCTTTCTTTCCTTCCTTCCTTCCTTCCTAGTCTCCCACTTTCACCATGAAGGAGCCCCGCATGCCTTGGACGGCGCTGCTCCTGGCCATGATGACGGCTTGCCTGCCTGCTGGAGCCGGGGAAGCGTCCTCCTTTTCGTCCTCCTTTTCGTCCTCCTCAGTTTCCCGGAGGCAGGAGGAGCAGCTCTTCGCCGGAGTCTCCGGAGCCCGGTGCACCTCCAGGTGCCTCAGCCTGCAGATCACCCGCATCTCCGCCTTCTTCAAGCATTTCCAGGTAAGAGAAAAGCCACGGAGGGAAGGAGAGTCCCCCTTCTTGGCTGTGGAAGCACCACTGAGAGGCCACCCTGGGCAAGTCACACTGTCTCAGCCCCCTCCCCGGCGGGGGGGAAGTCAGGGCTGAAGAAATCTTGCCAGGAAAAAACAAAACAAAACAAAACAAAACATGGTAGGTCCGTTTCCTTGAGTTTCCCTCCCTGGGCAAGTCACACTGTCTCAGCCCCCGGGGAAAGTCACGGCTAAACTCCCTCTGAAGAAAATTTGCCAGGAAAAACAACAACAACAACAACCCATGATAGGTCCGTTTCTTTGCGTTTTCCTGAGTTTCCCTCCAAGTCCTTTGGGAAGGAGTGGCCGTGTCACACTGTCTCAGCCTCGGGGGGAAAGTCACGGCTAAATCTCCTCTGAAAGAAATCTTGCCAAGAAAACCCAGGACCGTTTCCTTGAGTTTCCCTCCAAGTCCTTTGGGAAGGAGAGTCTTCTTCCTTGGTGTTTCTTTGGTGTTTCTTGGCTGTGGAAACACCACTGAGTGGCCACCCTGGGCAAGTCACACTGTCTCAGCCTCGGAGGAAGGCTATGGGTAAATCTCTGAAGAATTCTTGCCAAGAAAACCCCACGTTTCCCTCCCGGGTAGAACAATTTTAGGAAGGAAAGTCCCCTCGAGTTCGTCGCTGTGTACCTTGAAGTCGTTTCTGACTTATGGCAACCCTATATGAGAGGGTTTTCTTGGCAGGATTTGTTCAGGAGGGCTTTGCCATGGCCACCCTCTGAGGCTGAGAGAGTGTGACTTGCCCAAGGCCACCCAGTGGCTGAGTTGGGATTCGAACCCCGGTCTCCAGGATCATAGTCCAGCGCTCAACCCACACTGGCTCTCCCCCTTGAGTTTCGGGGGACCTGTTTCCAGGTCAAAGGGGTTTGTTTCTGGAGGAGGTTGCCTCCAAATCTGGAGCATTTCGGTCCGATGGGCAGAAGGCTGGAATGGAGGGCAGGACCGGGAAAAGGAGGATGTGGGTGACCAGATGCGTCCTCCTTTCCCCGGACCTGTCCTCCATTCCAGCCTTTGTCCAGGGCAGACAGAGTCTTTGGACAAAGTTCCAGAGTGTCCTCCATTTTGTGCCTGGAGTTACCTTTATAGGCGTGTTTTTGAGCTTTCCTTTAGTCATGTCCTCCGTTTCCTTGAAGGTCCTCCATTGGGTGTGAGAGATTTGAGGTAGTTTTCAGGGCACTTTACACTTTAAACACTTTAAAAAAAAAACAACCCCATTTCTAAAACGGAGTGATTTGGGGGCTCTTTTTGTGTCCCTTCAAGGCTTTCTCGATTTATGGCGCCCCTAAGGTGAACCTAGTTTTATTTCTGGGCCAAGTTTCTTCAGAGGGGGTTTGTCCTCGTCCTTGTTGTATGCCTTCCAGTCGTTTCCGACTTTCGGCAACCCCAAGGCGACCCTTCCTTATCCTGGGGTTTTCTTGGCCAAGTTTCTTCAGAGGGGGGTTTGCCCTTGCCATCCCCTGAGGCTGAGAGTATGTGACTTGGCCAAGGTTCCCCCCCAGTGAGCTGGGATTCGAACCCTGGTCTCCAGAGTTAGAGTCCAACACTCAAACCACTGCCCATCCGAACCCACGCAAGCCTGTGTGGAGATTGGCTTGGCAATAAGTTCCCACTGAGCGATGGGTCTTGCAGTCCCACCAAGCTCGTGTGCTTGGAAATCAGCCCCACAGAAGGGCATCCATCGCTGGACTCTTCTGCTAAGTACACATCCAGCAGCGTTCAGTTCATGCCTTCCTTAGCTTCCTCCTGTGCAAACCCTTCCAGTAGATGAAGCATTCTGAAGGTCTCTCCTAAGGAGGGGATATGGTTTGCTGAGTGCCTTCAAGATTCTTCAGAGGAGGTTTGCAATGGCCATCCTCTGAGGCTGAGAGAGTGTGACTAACCCAGGGTCACCCAGTAGGGAGTGACATCCTTGAGCCCCTTTTTCACCCCTTTTAAACTGGGTTTATAGACAGGGAAGTGGGGATTTCAGTGTGCGTTAGTGGGGGAGTTGAAAGGTTGACCAGTTTAGTTGTCCATTCATATCCACATAAAGGCGTGATTGCAGCCAGGGCTGGACTACACCTCTGGAAGCTAGAGTTCGAATCTCCACTTGGCCACTGGAAATCCATTGGGCTACCATGGGCTACTCACACTCTCTCAGCCACAGAGGGAGACAAGGAGACAGCCCCCCCCCCCCCCAAGAAATCTTGCCAAGAAACCCCTTTGATGGAGTGGCTTGAGGGTCACCGTAAGTCTGAAACTGCTTGAAGGCAAACAATAACAATAAAGGTGTGACTTGAGTTTATGTGATTTGTAAGGATGAAGTGGGATTTTTAATTCACGTTCTGGTAGTTATTCCAAAATAAAGCACACAGATTTCAGATAGGTAAACCTGAATATCTGGAGCAACTGGGTAGGCTAAGCATCTTTGGATTTGCAATCTGATACACACTTACCTGAGAGTAAGTTGTAATGAAATGAGTGGGATGAGTAAGCATTGATAGGATTGCACTGTTAAAGAAAACCCTTTACCTGTGAAACATTCTCTTGCATGCAGAATCTCCCATTTAAACCCCACAATGAGAAGAAAGGGTTTTTTAAATTAAAGATGTTGATTTAACCTTTCCTCCC